GTGTAGGGTAATACAAGTTCGTCATGTGAGAATCATCAACAGCAATATTTCTTCATTTTCAATTGTTATGTGATGTGCACACATGTAAATGTGTAGTTGAAATATGTTAGATATTACTGACATTGAATACCAAATTTAAATCATTGAATGTTTTGTTAAGTAAAAACTTGTTTAGATTTGTTATTTTTCTCACCTTTGTCTTCCAATGTTGCTTTTGTTTCAAAGGGGCTGATGGATGAAAATTCTGTAATTATCTAAAGCTTCCTGTAATCCCTCCTTTTTTAAAAAATTATTTTCATGTCTTCACTCTCTTCTTGATGTCTTTCAGCACCTGACAGCTCTCATATTCCCTGTATCCCATGGTTCTCTTTTCATTAAATTTTAATTCTTCTGCCTGTTTCAATGTCTTGTTCTCTCAGTTGTCTTTACGTGGTCCAGCCATTGTAGTTGTTTCTGTTCTAATTATTATTATTCCTATCAAGGTTTTGGCTGATGAGCTGTTCCAAGGTTAAGGGAGCAATCAGTGTCACTTTTTGTGTCAGGTTTATAAAATACAACATTATATGGATATCCAATTCTGGTAACAAATTTTGGATTCAAATGTTTCCTCTAAAAATTTAATTTCTGTGAGTAATTTTATTCATTCTTTTTTCCCCCCTCATTACTTCTCATCATATTTCATATATCTATTGCTTGGAGTTTAATTTTGTTTCTCTTTGTAAGTCCCCATGTTTCAGTGTTAAATCTTAGAAATGGTTAAGAATTCCTTTGTAAATTGTTCTTTAGCACTGTTTTGGGGTGTATCTGTTCCATATTATTCCTTTCTGGGTTCTGTCCTTGGTTACTTTATTGTTGACTTTCCTTAAAATTTTTTATCTTCTTTTTTTGGGCTTTGTTGTTCTGTTACACCGTCAACCAACTTCTGACCATATTGATTTTGAACATAGGCATTTGGGAGGGCATTTTTTTAGGAAAATTTTTATTCCTAAAACTACAGTCCTTGTAAACATTTCATGTAATTATCGGTGTTAGTGCGTCACATATTTTATGTGTTCTGTTTGACTTTTTTGTCAGTAATCCAGTTCTACCACAGTCATTCCTAGAGGCACCAAAGAAAAACCCTAAACGCCACCCTATTCATAAGAAGAAGGGATCTGGAACATCAACAGGAGAGGGTGTACTGACGTCTATTGACCGAACAGATGAAGTGCTGGCTGAAATACCTCCAGATGTGCAGAAAGTTCTTGAGGAGATGGCACTTGAAGAGGAGGAACCAGATGAAGACACGTTAGAAGTCCTTGAAGATATCTGGCTGAAAGCTGGTGAAATGGGTGAGAGAAAATACATATTTACACACAATGTTGTTTATGAAGACTCCAGTGTTAATGAGCAAAATACTACACTTATTAATGTTTTTACCGCAATAATAAACAGTATTTAGTATGGAGATTTCTGTCTTCTGGGTTGTTGCGCTGTGTAGTCTGGTCGATGTTAGCCAGCGTTTCAGAGGTCAAACTGCCTCCGTCATCAGGCTACTCCATTCATGGTCCGGCTCTTATAAACCTAGCCCCACAACCTATTGGCATATTCATCGCCCTGATGACGGAGGCAGTATGATCTCTGAAACGTTGGTTAACATCGACCAGACTACACAGCGCAAGAACCCAGAAGACAGAAATCTTCATACTCACCGCTGTGAAAACCTCAAATCTTACACAGTATTTAGTATGTTTGTGAAATTAATATTCTCAGTAACATTTTTGGTATTGACACTTCTCCACATATGTGTTGCATCTGTCAAGCAAGTCTGATACAAGTCGGCTTGTTTATTCTCATGTCTGCATGTGCAGGTTGTTATGGGTGGACTGTTGCTTGAAAAAGATTAGTCTGATAATTTGTCTAATAAGCAGTCATTTGCAAGCACAAGAGGTTATGTTATGTATGAGTTATCTTGTACTCCTTGGTTCAGGTAATGCTAAAGATGTTAAGAATGTTGAATTGGCATTTGTTATTTTCATATATATTTGTAATAACCACTTCAGAATAATGCTGTTTTGTAGTAGTGTCATATTGTAATATATGTTGTTAAAGTTAGGAGACAGATTTTATATCTGTTTTTAAACTGTTTCTGGACATTACAAGATACCATTACAATGAGTACTTTTTTGAAATTAATAAATTCCCATTGTGGTTATGCTGTTGTGTTCATTGATTTGAAATTGCTGATATACCCCAACCACATTGATACTAAGTTTCAATCTGTCTCTTTAAGACACTTTCTTGGTTAGCATTTGTCTGGTTGTAGGTCAGTGCCACCACTGAAACTAATACATGTTAGTGGATGCTATCATGTACAGTTTAAGGAGCCATTTTTTTTAAGTATTACATTTAAGTTTGTTTGCAGAGTGAAGCGCTACGTTCAATAACTCCTTGTCCCCAGGTAAGAGGGACAATTACAGGTATATAGAATAAGTATGTACTGATAGCCATTAAGGTTTTTCTTCCCCATTTTGGTGGTGGTGAAACATACTGCAGTTGAGGTTTAAATTTAACTGGTCTTCTGCTTTTTTTTAGCAATGCCTTGTGTGAATGCAGTTATGTGACCCAATTAGGATTTATACCACTTGTTCAGTGAGTAATGCTTGTTGCAGATATGAATGAGGCATCAGTTTACAGTGAGATACGTAAGAAACATGCAAAGAAACGCAAGCGCCAATCAAACTCTGAAGGCCCTGAACAGAACAAGCCTCGTAAGAAGCGGCCTAAGGTGGAGGTCATCAATACTAGTGCAGATCCCATGGTTTCATATTCAGACATACAGATGAGCAGTGTTCCCAACAGCAACACTGGTATCAGTCAAGCCATTAAGAAAGTCAGAATCAAGCAGGTGAAGAAGGTGAAACTACAAAGTGAGGATGACAAGTTGCAAACAGAAGTGAAGCCTTCAGAAGATCAAAAGTTCTTAGATGAAACAAGGAGGTGCTCTGGTAAGTATTACATTCATTACCCTTATTGCATGTTTATTGTTTATGGTGAAATCTTGAATAATTTGTTTGGATCAGCATTTTAGATACCTTAGTAGTATTCTGAAGTGGCCAAGTATGAGATTAAATGTGTTGGTACAGTACTGAATTTGGTATTTGCATTTTTACTATTTATTTTACCGTACTTGAGAATAAAGAAGGTTGATGTGTTACTATTAATGCATTTGACTTTATCTCCAGTTTAAGAGAAGCAGTTACATTAATTGAGATTTTTCTGGTGTGAGGAGGGTGCTGATGTGGTTACTTGAACTATACTAAGATTGTTTCCTGCCAAACCATGAGCATGTTTGTATCTCAGTATGTGACAAGCCTGCATGGTATTACAACTTAGGATTCAGGAGTAAGGTAGTGGTGTTTTTATAAGTTTTTTAGTTGTGCCTGAGTTAATAGTCATATCATGGTTTGTATGAATTATTTTGCAAGATTTTGATATCATGAACTCTTATACAAGTACTGTATTAAAAAATTAAAAATAATCCAGGCTGTAAAGAGACCAGGTAGTTACACTGGGGATAAAACATCAACATACTTGCACAATAATATGTGCCCTAAAAATGCCTGGCTGCTAGAGGGCATCTGAAGGGTGAGGGCCTCACTGTAAGGGGTTAGTTTGCATACACATTCTGGATAGTATTGTGTATTTATTTATTCATTTATTCATTTATTCATAGGACTCTTTCTTCATTGGATGACACCTATTTCATATTGTGATTTACTGCAGAATATCCTGGTACCTTTTTCATGTTTTTCTGAGTGGTTTCACGCAAATGAATAATTAGTCTGTGACTTCTCTATCACCCATTTCATTTCTCATCCTTCATTCATCATTCATATTTTAACTTACCTCATTCATAGATATGTATAACTGTGGTGGTTACTGGATGCTGGGAACGACCTGTTCAGGTACCTGAGCACTGCGGGTCCCAACTCTTTGTTGGCTTGATCTATAGACATTTGGTAGGACTCCTTTGACGAGGGATCGGCCCGTCGTAAGGCCTCTACCTGTACACAGGACAGCACAACACAGAAAAACGCAGACAAACATCCATGGCTTGAGTGGGATTCGAACTCACGGTCCCAGTGACCAAGCAGCACAAGGCCCACGCCTCAGGCCGCACGGCCACTGCAGACCCCAACTGTGGGGACTGATATTGAAATTAATAATTCAATTTAACATACATTGATTGTGAACAGGAAAAATACTTCTATTCAGTTGCATAAACACTTATTGTCTTCCAGCACCCATAGGCAAAAGCTGTCTTTGCTTTAATCAAGTTTTTATTGCACAGAGTATGATTTAGAATGGTATTATATATAACACATATGTTTGATCAGTTATAGGTTATATGTGGTTTTCTTTGTGCAATGTTATGCAGTTTAGTCTGTTGGAAAAGTATAAATTATTAGTACCAGCATTATTTTTCTATATGGTGTGGACTGTCATCTTGGTTATTATGTGTATGTGTGTGTGATTTACATTGTTCTTTTATGTTTCTGCTTTGTATTGCTTTTGCATGTGCTTGATTCTATAGCTTGTGTTTTCGGTGTTGGTTGTTTGACAGAAATAATAATGACGTGAAATAGTGTTCCTGTCATGGATGTTACAGCCATCCTTTCTGAAGATGGTGGCAGACAGAGAAAGTCTCAGTCTGGCCACCCAGGCAAGAAACAGAAGTTACCTATCAGCGTTGGGAGTCATATCATGGCAGTTCCTTTCATCAGCCATGTTGCAAGACAGTTTCCAGACACAGGACAGATTGTGGGGCAGCTTGCAGGCCAGGTCCCAACTTCAGCCGCATCTGGCCAGTTCTTGGCCAAGATCCCAAACATCAGCCGGGTTGTTCCGAGTATCCGGGGCATGGGCGTGGTCATGGGCCAAGGCCAGCCCACTTACCAGAGTCCAGTTAGGGGTAATATATTACCCACACACCAAGTCCTGGGCAAGGGGCAGGTTAGGCCAAGGGGCAGAGTATTCTTCAGGGACCAGATTAGGCCTAGGGGCCAGATTCCAGTCAAATCTGCAGGCCCAGTTCGAGTCACCAGCCACATCTTGGAACAAGTTGGAGGCCAAAGCAAACCTGCTACTTATGTCCCAGGGGTGAGACAAATTCCAGTCTCCAGTGAAAGTCAGGCGAAGAAGACTTTGGGACTAGTCTCTGGTCAAGTTGTGGCTCGTGAACTGGTTGTAGTACCAGGGTCTCAGCCTAAAGTACATACATCAGCTGGAGGTAAGTTAAGAGTGATTGGGAATCTTGACATGTTTAAAAGATGTCATTTTTCAAAATATAATATGTTTATGTTCCACATTTCTGAAATTGGTACTGTGTAAGTTTCAGGATATGGTGGTATTACAAAGAGAATGAAACAAAATTTTATTGCTGGCAGCAAGTTAAATGCTACTTCACCATACCGTGTTGTTGATGTGAACATTCACAAGATCTTTGAGTTGAAAGGGATGTGAGATCCTTAAAGATTTTATTAACATTATGAGTAGTCTAGTTTTATCATGTGCACTGTGATGGGATTTTAATTTTAAGAAATTAATTCTCTTTCTTTCATAATTTATTAACTTTATAAATAACAACAGTAATTAGCAAAAGCAGCAACATTGTAAATAATAAAACAAATAAATATAATGAAATTATTACACTCCTAACCAAGAAATTATAGCAGAACCATACCATGCAAGAAATCTGATGTTGCAGTTCAAGACTGGAAAGATACATGTTTACTAGTTGACATTTCTATACCAACTGATTAAAACATTGTGAAGAAAGAATTGGGAAAGAATATTAAAACATGAAGATCTGATTAAAATATTGTGTATGTGGAATGTGAAGGCAAAGGAAATTCCAACTCCCTCATATTTGGGAGGTGCTGGGTTCAGATTCTGGCCCAGAGACCAGCTTTCCTGAGTGAGGTTTTCTTCGGTCCCTTCAGGCAAATGCTGGGATAGTATTTTAAAATCAGGCCATGACCACTTCCTCACATCCTTTCCAATAAATTGTTCACTATCATCTCATTTGATGTTACATAGCTACTGAAATAAATAAATTAATAAATATTGGTGCAACTGGATGCTGTGTTGATAATTTTAAAGCATTTAAGTGACGTCCCTGGTATGCACTCCAGTGTGGAAGTACGAAAGACTGCCATTCTGAAAAAAGGCACACTTTTAACTTAAAATGTATTTTCCAGAACCTACTATGTAATGAGCCTCAGAGACAAGGTTTACCCCTGTCTCATGGACAGATACTCTGTAACATAGTGTAAAAATATTAATGATTACTTTACACAAATTTTTGTAATTCTTACAATTAAATTTGTTAACACTGATTTCATGTAACATTACTTTGTTCTTTGCATAACTGGTTTATTTACCTTGCTATTTTCTGGAGTGTCAGATGTTGACTGTACTGGTTTTTGTGTTGTAATTGCCCATATTTTAACATTTCTTCAGCAGCATTAATTTTATAGACTTTTTTTATTTTAGAATCTCTGAGGTTTTCAATAAAGAGCCATTTCTATATGAAATAAAATCAGTGTAATGTTGAACTACTAGATTGATTTTGGCAGGCAAAACATATGCACAGTGAAATATTGAGAATGTTTTGAAGGACAGCAGTGGGCTGTTAGTTTGTTTTTCTTTTCGACAAGTAGATATACTTTCCTTATCTTACATGTCGGCAGCTCTTTTTGTTCAGTCATAGTCCAAAATAATCTGTGGGTATAACATGATCACCCTACTGTCGGTATGCAGTGTGTTGCAATATTACACATCTGTTTCTTCTTGATGCATGAGAGCTTGTCCATTGTTATCAAGAAAGTGGAGAAACAGACCTTGTCCTTCCCAAAATAAGTCCATTGTTATGAGATTTGGTGATCAGTGAGACAATTCTGTTGGGTCATCTGTCACTTGGAGCTTTTTTACATTGGTGGATTTGTCTAAACTTAAGGATTCGTAGGTAGTTTGCAGCCTTAAGCTATAGTAAATTTGTTAATGTTTAATGTGTTGATGAATATAAAGGCATGTTAGCTAGACTAATTCTTTCAGCACTTCATTCCAGATGGCATTTCAGTGCCGTCTGATTCATTAATGTTTTTTAAAAAACAGTTCTTCCATTCTCAATTCTGTTATACTTACAATGATAGACTGCTATACTCATAATTCACACCATGATTTCATTGTCACTCCTTTTTTATGTTATTTACAGTTCTTACTGATTTATACTGTATTGTTTATATTGTGTTATATATGTTCTTTTCTCAGTGCTTTTCCTGTTATTGATATTATTTGATGTCAAGTACTTAAAATGAATTTGTGTTTAATTTATTTTAGGTTCTCGGGAATGTTAATTCTTTATTATTATTGTTGGTACTTTTCTTTTATGCTTCTTTATGCAGCTACATTTGTGCATCTTAGCAATTGTGATTCTTTGTGTGAAACGCATGGTATGTGGTTTAACATTGTTGGTGTGTGTCTTCTGTTTTCATTCAGACATTTGATGAATTTTGTAGTCATAATTCTTTCTGCTGGGTGTCAAAGAATGTGCATTTATTTTTGCTCTACTCAGACGCCCTGGAGTAAGCAAAATGAACATGCTATGAATTCTTGATTTTAATTTTTTTCTTCATATGACTATACTGGAATGTTTTTATTCAAAGGAATCAGTTTGTGCAATTTGTAACTTTAATTTTGCAAGTTTCAAACTTATTGCAAATGCAGTTCGATGAAGCATGAAAAGACTTCTTTAATTCGTCAGTAATCTCTTTTATTGATGTTTTAGTATGTTGTCTTTATCATCAGTTATTAGTAAAACATTCACTACCACCACTAATGCCAACTGTGAAGGTGACTGTGATATCACTTCCACCATTACTGCTTATATTGCCAGCTTTTCTTCAAGTCATACCTACTTTACAGTTTACGGATATTTTTATATAAGCCTCCTTGTTCATATACATATTTTGTCTTGGTTGTGATTGTGCAGATGGGTGCACAACAGTTTTCTTTGAAACATCTTGCATGAACATTGTGAGTGCTTGCCTTTGTGAAAAAATGTTTGTGTGGAGTTCATGTGAATTGATATGTGTATGAAATGTGATAATTACAAAAAAGAGTATATGATTATTTTGCTGTTGCAGGTGTCAGAATGCAGTTGCCAGTGTGCACATCTATCGCATCACATTCTGGAGCTGTTGTCATGACATCTCGAAATTCTGGACCTACTGCTGGAAATCTGCCCATTGCTGGAACTCTGTATTCTCCATCAAATTATGTGGGCTATCTTAATGAATATGTCAGATTCATGCAGACTGAAAACAAGAGACAAACGCAGCACAAAATATTTGGGCAGCAGGACATCGGTGAAAATAATACTAACCTAGCATGGTCTATACAGCAAGCCTCAAGTAATAGAAGTGGTGGACAGAGTGGAACCTTCACGGTGGAGGGTGTTGGCAAGAAACCTACAATTGATTTTTGCAGTCATGTTGCAAGAAATACTCATGCTTCTAGCTGGGATTTTACTGTGAAGTGTGTTGGGGATTCACAAACATCAAGTCATCTAGACAGTATTCAGAAGTCTGCACTTGTTGCTGAACACTTAGATAGTGCAGTAGAAATTAAATATCACATGATAAAAACTGATGAAATTGGACATAAAAAGACTGAATATGAAAAGGTGAAAAATAAAGAAACCAAAAGTGGGAAAATTGAAACTGCAAGCATAAAAATTGAAAAGGTTGAAGCTAAAATGTTGGAAGATAAAAAGACTGAAACTAAAATAATTAAAACTGAAACATCTTCTGATTTTGTTGCCAGTACAGCAGTGTCTATGGCAATAAACCCTGCCTTTGTTTCTGGAGTAGGCTCTGAAGAATTAAGTAGGGCAAACATTTCTATGACAGGCTCAACATCAGCCTCAGATTCTTCAGAGGCACAGTCACATAAAGAACTGATGAATGCAATAGGTGGTTTGTTGGAGTTGAAGAATATTCAAGGTGTTGCTGGTACTTCTGGTGGGACTCTAGATGAAAGTCCTTATTCAGTGCAGGAGACAATGGCAGCTTTGCAGAAATTCACAGCAGTCAGCGTGACTCCAATTTCTAGTGTTCAAAACCTGAAGCACAGTAATAATGTGCAGCTGGACACAGGTCAGGCTTCTACCATATTATCGAACGCTAGTGTACCTGAAAGGGCGTTAATGCCATCTACCAGCAAGGGCAGTGCCATTTCTGGACATACTTGTAGTGTATATAAGGTTGACATTCCTTGTGTGGGTTCAAAAACTGACAAGTCAAAATCTGAACCTAAGCCTCAGACTGAGTTTCGGATCCAGATAAACTGTAAAAATGAAATGTACCTTTGTAACACTGAGACTGGTGAAATCAAGCCCTTGAACACGGCAAAATCTGCCAAAAAGTGGAGTCAGACAAATTCAAGGTCTACGCCTGTACAGGTAGAACCTAGTAGTAATGTATCAGCTGATTCAAAGATAACCTTTGGGGAACTGCCTCTCCATCCAGTGCAAGTATCTGGGACTTATCAAAATGTAATTGCTAAGACAACAGACATAACTGTGAAAGCAGACCAGTCCCGGCAGGTTACAGAGACTGCCCCTGTCAACATTCCAATGTCTGGAATGTCTGGCACTCCATCCCCTGTTCCAAAACTGAGCCTATCCCATCCAGTATCAAAGCCTGGAAGTGTGACATTCCCAGACAAACCTGTTACTTCTGTTTCAAAATTAAACCAATCTGAGTCGGTGGTGAAGTCCAGCGAAGGCAACAAATCAAGCGTGCTCATGAAGTCACCCCATGTTCCGAAGTTAGTAATGCCAAGGAAACCTACAGCAACTCAGTCAATGCCCAGTAAATGGCAGAGTGCTGAAACTATGGCTGCAAACCATAAACCAAACCGTAGGAAGCCAACATACATTATACACAATGCACATGGCAAGATGGCTCGTCATACTATTGAATTGCAAGAGGCTTTGGAGTCCTGTGTTGAAAGCATGTTGGCCACAGACAAAGATGATAACTCTGTAACACGTGGACACGAGAATATGTTTGACACAACGATGAAAGATGATACGCCCCTCCCATTTTTTCTAGAGGGGGGGATTCAGACATCTGACATGTCGAATAGCAAGGGCATGCTACACATGACACAACCTGATAGCAAGCAATGGCCGTCACTTGGACATGAGGTGACGGTGGAGACGACTGCTGCCACACCGCCATTGCTTGAAGCATCTCCTCCTGTGCTTGAGCCAGCTGGTTCCCAGCAGATGACTTCCACTGGCGAGGAAGGAAGCAGCCATCCACCACAGTTGATACCCGAGAGTAGTACCAGTATTAGGAATGTCAGCATGGCACACATTACTGCCAAGAACCGAAAATGTAGGTTATATACACTGAATTATATGGAGACTTATTTCTTTGTTAGCTTTACAGTGGTATCACTTTAGTCCATTGTCATATGTTGACACATTTTTTTTTGTCTGTTACATACAAGGTTGATGTAAATTATGTTGGTATTTATATATTTGCTTAACAAAAACCAAACAGCATACAGAAATTAAACTTGCAACATTGGATGTGGAACTTCGTATTTTCTGTAGCATGGTGGAGAGGTAACATAACTTCATTGATTGCTACTAGGAGCACAACTGTTAACATTGCAGTGAAATCATGACTCAGATCAAGAAAGAAAATTGAATTCACATGTATAGGATTTTATGGAATTTCCTCTGAAAACCTGTTGAACAGCTGTTACATGTTTTTAAAGTTGGAGTGCACATTATGTGAAAAATGTTTTTAGTGGGTGTAATTTTACTTATGTTATTGAAGCTAGGGTTAAGAACTTAAATTGCTGTTAACCCATGAATGAAAGTTTAGTATTCTTAAAGTTGTCCTTTGTGCTTAAATAGTCATACAGTGAAGATGTGGGCAAGTGGAAAAATAGCTCTACTCTTTCTTGACCTTGACATTAGCTGGAGGTGAATAGTCATGCTCCTTCCACTTAGCCACCCAGAGACAAACTTTGGTACTTCACTGTATAAGAGGCTGGGTGGGCCCCAGAGCCAGTCTGGGCACACTGGCCAAGAGAAACATTTCTTTCTCTCTTCTGCTGTGGTTGAGTTTTCTGATAAACTTTTTCCTTTGTTACCGAAAGGAAGAAAAATAATGGGGTTAAATCTGGTGCATGTGGTGGCCACCATACAGGACCACCACTTCCAATCCAGCATGATGGTTTTCCCACACATTATGCATATGTAGCTAGATGAATACTTAATGGACAGTTTCCTGATGACAGATTTTTTGGAGTGAAAGTGGAACACAGAAAATGCTGTTTCAGGTTGAGTCACCATTTTACAGTCATGGAAACAATTGCATCTTAAGGAAAGATATATTATCGTACCCAAGAAGAAGGCAAAATTATTTCTGATTTAGAAGACTGCGATCTAAGAAACAGTTCTTCCTGTGTTCCTGTTTTAAAGTATGATGATTTAACATTTGGTGATGTCACCATAGGTCCTGGATATCTGCAAGACATACTGCAGAATTCACCTCCAAATCTTAAGCTGGAGAAGGCATTCAACAGTTACTGGAGCCAAACCACACCATTCTGCTCACTTTGTACAGCATTCAGCATAGGCAAGGTGTGTTGTACTGAACTTATCAAGGTATTTTAATTTTTTTTTCTGACTTCAGAGCCAGAGCCATAGCATAATTGAGCGTGGAGCCTGTGTTGGCTTTGAACTCAGTAGAATAAAATGTGTTACTGAATCTCTCTTGCCATTGTGTTCAAAAAGATTAACATCTAAGCTGTGTGACAGTTATTTAAATTCTTCTAGGGCTGTGGTGGAGGCGGTATGCCCCCTGACTGGAAGTACTCGGATCCAGTTGAGAAGCCTTCAACAAGTTCGGTGTGGCTTTCCTCAAGCCACTTCATAACTAATAAGGTAATCATTCTGTTGGACATGGCTTAGTTTCATAGCTTTCTCTCATTATCTTTTGTAACTTCTTTATTAGCATTGTTGGAAACATGCCCATAGTTTATCTCAAAATGTTATTGATGATTGTGTTGAATTACTAATTTAAACTTTTTCAATTGTCATTATTCTTAAGAAGTCACTATGTTTTGGGAGATGTTTCTTCCCCCGTCCTCAGGTCCATAGATTGTGATTAGCTCTTTCTAACAGGCCTGACTGTGTAAGATCACATGAGGATGGGGGAGGAGCCATCTCCTGAAACTGTTTTTTTGAGGAGGTATAATGATTGTAAAAGTCCAAAAAATTGAAGTTAGTAATACTCATAGAATTTGTTTATTAAGTTTATTTTGTTTTAACTGGATCTATTTGTCAGGTGTTTGAAAAGAAATGTTATAATGTGTTTTAAAAATTTTCTTTATTGGAAAACTTTGTGATTATGTGTGAGTATATTTTAGAATGGAAATTTCTTTTTGTGTTTTCTTGTGTTGTTTCATAAATTTTCAAATCAGAGTTAAAAGAGCTATAGCTTTTCCTGTATGTCATTTTTCACACGCACTGTTCACTGTTTGTTCTGTTCGTTTAAACTGTCTGTTCAAGTGAACAGACTGTACTGTAATGCCAAGTTGGTGAAAAGTTCATTGTCATCAATTTTAAACTTTGTTTTTTTTTGTATGTATATTTACTAGCAGATTTAGGTCGCTACCAACTGATCAATCACATACTTACATAAGTAAACTAGAAACAGCATAATATTCCAGATTGTGGAAGAGGAAGTTGGTTGCCTTGAATAAAGATTTTATAATGTGGAATATGATGTTACCTATTGTGTTTTATGGTTTATTTTAATTTATATTTAGAATTTTTGTTTACAAAGAAATTAGTAGGTGTTGTGCAGGCATTGGTTTGAGCATGTGGTATGATTCATGCTTTAACAGGATTTGAATAAGATGGCTGTGAGCAAGCGCACAACAGATGGTGGGGACAGCTCTGTGCTTTTAAGTTGTCGTGACTGTGGAGTATGCGTCCACTCGGGCTGCTATGGCGTCACAGTACTGCCATCATCTCCTGCTGATCGAACAGATTGGACTTGTGACAAATGTCGTGCTGGCATGCATCAAGTGGTAAGTATGTGGTCAAAAATATTTTCTCTTTCATCATGATGGAGGCATAAACATTGAATTTCAAGTTGAAGTTGCATGAATAGTTTGTCCGATGCAGGATGATTATAAAATAAAAATAATTTTAATTTAAGAAATTAAGTATGTGTAAAGCCTAAAGCCCTGTTATGTAGGACCTTCATTACCAAAACATTTAAAGTTAACCTTTGAGTTCCCTTAATTTTTTGTTATAAAAAAAATTAACTTTATTCATGTAACTGATTTCATTGTTAATTCTTAAACCACATTTTTTTTGTACTTCATGCTAATATTACATATAGTATTTTTTAACATATGTATTGTATCCATGTTTTCAGTATTGTTGCCTGTGTTATGTGAGGGGTGGAGCCTTGAAACGCACAACAGATGCTCGTTGGGCACACATATTGTGTGCTCTACTTCTGCCTGGAGTTGCATTCAAAGATTCCGTTTGCAAGGAACCCATCAGTGTCTTGTCTGTTAGCAAAATGAACACAGAGATTGTAAGCATAAAGTCCACATCTTACTGATCACTAGCATTCCTCCAGTATGGAAATTCCATGCAGATAAAAATACTTTTGGATGAATCATCAAATGTATTTTCCAGGAAAAAGACATAGCGTTTGTAAGGGAGGGTTTGATCGATGAAAACTCAGGTCTTTAAATTGTTATTGCTATAGACACAAGCAAGTACATTGCTTTATATAATCTGAATTATTTTGTTTGTTGTAAGTAGAGTTTATTTACTACCCTCATATTACTTCAGAATGCCTTTGTTGATGGTAATATAGGAAGTGGCTGACATGTCCGTCAGTCATACTTATGTAATTTGTTTTACTTGTTACCCATGATGAATCAGATTTTTTCTTTGTCAACTCAGTGCAAGCTTTTACATACTGATTTTGTTTTGGCAGTGAAATGTTTTTTGAAGGTTGTGCTTTATGGCAGAATCATTTGAGTCAGACTACTTAAGCATTAAGACCTGTTTTATGTTATTGCTAATTTCGGTCATGTGAGATCATATAATTTTCACTAACATCACTTATTGAATTTTATTTTTTATTATACAATTTTCAATTTTTTTATGCTCACAAGATACCTGAAGAGTCTCTCAAACTATTATCTTTACAATGATAAAGCATTTAATTTGCCATTATGTTTAATTTTGGATGTTATTCTGTTGTACTACGCTCTCTTATTTTTACATATTTTCAGAAATTTCTGTGCTTTCAAGTGCTATATTAAATAAATGTGTTATTTCTGATTTTGTTACTTCTACATGAAGTTTCTTGCTCGTCAAAGTTTGCTAATGATAGCCATTTCGGTGCAGTAGATTTTGTACATTTTTTTTTTTTCATTTTGTACTTTGGAGTGTTTTTATGTCTTTATGGTATGTGGTACATATGTAATGAAATTATCTCATTATTACTATTTTTCTGGACGTTATCCATTGTTTAATATTTTAAGACAAGACAGGACCACACCAATGTATTGGCCTTGTCTTAGGTTATTAAATGATGGATTATGACCAAATAAACAGCGATGTTGAACATAATGAACCATTGTTAGAACCCTTTAGAATTACATTGTAATGAAATGTCTGTTATGGTGGTGGTGATGATGATGTGGTTTCAAGTGTGGTTTTTGTTTACAGGAATGCATATTTTGTGGAAACCAGTGTGGTGCTTGTGTTCAGTGTAGCTATGCCAGGTGTCAACACATGTTCCACCCCATGTGTGCATTGCTGTCTGGTGCACAGTTCCACATATCCCCTTGGAGTAATAATTCCTCACAAATTAGTGTTTCATGCAAAGGTCATGCACACAAACATGACAAGGTAGGTACTGCATTTGTGCATATGCTCTGCATTTAGAAGTTTGAGATAATCTTCAAGTAAACTCTCTTCATTTAGACATTGATTGTTTTCTTTGTGTGTTATGCCAATTTGATAAAGTGAATAACAGAAATCTACTAACATATTTTGCAAGTGTTTGCCAGGTTAGGTTGTGGACACGTGTGCATGTGAAAACAAAATGTTTTCTCTTGATGTGTATGTAAATTGTGTGTAAGTGGAAAGCAGATGTCCATGTTACTGTGCTGGATGCACAGTTTTGGATTACTTCTGATTGTTTCAAGTCAATACATGGAGGTTTGTAGTATTGTAGTGTTTAAGAACTTTTACCTCTTAAATAAATTTCCAAAACTTGGATTGAAGAGAGATATATTGTTGATGTAGGTCTTCTCAGTTGTAACACTGAAGATGGAGGTAGTACATTCCTCCAAAATGTTGGTATCTGCATACAGGTCCACGTGGCATTACATTCCAGAAGACCAACATTGACATCTACACTGCCATAAGACCCTCATATCTCATATAGGGTATATTACATTTACATTCAAATTATCTGCATCATGAGAGAGTTCGTCCAGTTACAAATTTATGTTTGCAGACCAAGTCCTCTGGTTTGGGCAGCTGATTAGTTTTTGGGAAAAGTTAATCTTTAACTTTGTCTCTAATATTCAGTGGATAAACTGAAAAGATAAATGTAGAGCTTGTTAGACAGTGTTTGTAGAGCATTTTGAAGTAAACATTGTGAACATATCTTTGTATGTGAAGTTCCGTTTTTAAGAAAATGGCTATCATCATCTATTAACTGTATTAAATGCTCACTGACCATAACTTTCTAAAATAGCCTACTGGTATGACTGGAGTCTCATAGATGTATGAAACATAATATGTGTTTTCTGATGAGAGTACACTTACTCAAGTTTAGAAGATAGAAATAAACATATTTTTTTCTGAGTTCTAGATTGTATGTGCAGCTGTGTACCATATTTATGTTCAGGTGAAGAATGGGGGGAAAAGTGGTAATAAATGTAATGTATTATTTTTCTAGATCTGTAGTGTTCACGTAGGGCAACTGGTATGGGCTCGTCACAAGAACAGACGCTACTACAAGGGACGAATATCTGACATTTCAGAAATCCAATTCTATATGGTTCTGTTTTCGGATGGCTCTTTTAGTGATGATCTTTATCCAGAAGACATTACGGTAAGTTTGTGGCTGAGATATATGAACTATCAAATTCTTAACTTAGTTCTTTTGTTGAAAGGCAACTAACTAACTTTCTAGTGATGTTTCATAGCAGAACAGATTTTTTTCAGATTTTGCCACAGATGTGAATCTTGTATAAACTGTAGTGACACAAAGAGTAATTGTTTCTACGGCAGTATCCTTTATTGTTTTCCAGTAATCTCTGATATTCTTCTGTTACTCATCTGCCTATGTCAAATTTGATTGAGTAAAACATTGGAAGTTGAATTTCATAGAAATATGAACTGACCATTTCATGAAGAAGACTGTCTTCAGGGCTGTTGTGCCATATGGTCTTGTAGGAATTGACTGGTGTTTCAGGTGCTTACTGCTTTCATCATCAGGATCTGATGATGGAGGCACAATGTCTCATTACAGTGAGAACCTTATCTTTTTGAGACGTTAACACCACAGATATCTGTTGGTCAGGATTGAAAGAGTTCCCAGTACTTTTTATGGCACCAACTGAAGACAATTACAGCAGTAAATTCCACACATATCTTGGCTAAACGTTTAACTGGTACTGTGAAATTCAACAAACTGAGGTTTTCTGGGAGAAGGCTATTGTACTGTGCCGCATCAAGGTGGTACTCAGTGCTGGTCCTTGTTTTCAGTGTTACCATACGAACACTATATTAGCACTTCAGTGCAAAAAGTTCAGCCTGTTTCAATATAAGAATTTGTAGACTAAGAAGAGAAGCAAAACTAATTGGAAAATTTCTTTAATATTTTATTACTGCGTATTAGTTTTCCCACTGTTGTTTGTTGTAATGTGCTGTGAAAAGTTGATGTGTCAA